AATGCCAAAAAAAATCTATAAAAGTCCTTTAAACCTTTCAGCATCAAAAGTTGTCGAAGCAGAGATCAAAATGTATTTTAAAAGCATAAATAAAAGGAAAACATCTGTGAATCACTAAAATGTTGTCTTAGAATTTCTCAATCTGTGAAATCAATTGTATGGCCTAGTTTCGCAGTTATAACAGTACTCATTTTATCACATGGTACGTTTTACGCCCCAACCGCCCCACCTACAATGATCTGTAAAAATACAAATCAAGATTGATTTCCACAATAGACCGGTAGGAGGGTTGATGAATTGAAACATGGATTTTTCGCCACTATTAAATGTTCTCTGCTGTGCAGGGGGCAAACATAATTGCCTCTGGTAGGTGAGCATTGCCGTTTCTAATGATCTCTGTTGTGAAGGCCCAGTGATCCGCACTCAATTACAGGCATTGATTATCCACCTCCGGCTTTTCACTGAGGATGAACACGGTTTGTTTAAACATCCCGCAATTTGCTACAGGTGCTTTTGTGCTTAGAGAAACCAAATGTTTATGATTGCTAAAGATGACCCAGTTGTGTCGAATACTTAATGTTAGTCTTGTTTCAGTCTATCTTTTCTCAAAACACAACAATTGAATTTGTACATTCTAGGAAAGGCTGTAAGCTACTTGCACAAAGCCCGCAGGATCCCAAGTATGCAGCCCAAGAACTAAAGAGTCATACTGACCACAACCGAATGCTTGATCAAGGGACTTAAGCCATCTCCTGTGGGGCTTTTGCTTTAAATCGGTATGGCGTGTATTTAAGCTGCTATGGATTAAAAAGCACTTGATAAATAGCATATAAATCCAGGGCTTTTTCAATTTCACATAATTTTTTATCGCAGCAGACACTAATAAACCAAACGGATGTTGTATTGTTAGTGGTAAATTAGGAGCTGTGTCTATGCTTGAGGTTTACATAAAGAATTTAAGACAACCTTCAGACAACCTTCAAACTTTAAAGGGATAGTCACCTAATAATGAATATTTTGTCATCCTTTACTCACTCACATGTACACAAACGTTTTTAGGAAGATATTTTCAACTTCGTCAGGCCCATAGCCAGGGGGTGGGGTTAGGTGGTTCGAAAGACCCACCCCTCACTGACAGTGACAGAGTCATCCCTCAGGTCAAGAATTTGTCTCACACATGAGCTCATTTGTTTTGTTTTGACTGCTTTGACATAATAAATTGTGAAAATAATCCATTGAAGAAGGCTTTAACACCAAGTGGAATCCTGTGTTGGCTGTTGCGTTAGCATGACTGAGGAAAGTTGAATGACCGAGCCAATGTGCTATGTAAATGAATGATTTTTAAATGACAATAGGCTACAGTTTTATTAATTTAAAACTTTAACAGATTTTAAATCAGATCCTTAATTTAAAACTTTAACAAATTTTAAATCAGATCCTATTTTTTCTAATGATACATGATGTAATTGTTGTATATATGATGAATATGATGTAAATTATAATTGATGTAAATATGTGGTAATGATGACCATCCAACAAGCTAATCCAGCAAAAGATTTTGCTTAAAATGTCACTAATATGCAACTATTTTAACCTCATAATTAAATAGAAAATGGGGCAAATAACTGCAAAATGATCCACTTTTTAAGAAAAAATAACCACCCCTTTCACCAGGCTGTCTACGGGCCTCTTTATTTAAACTTCATTCAACTTCATATCAACTGAACATTCAAAAAGGTCAGTAAGACATCATCTAATGAAATATAATCACTTTCTATGGTTAATATGAGTCAGACCAAACAATTAGTTTACACACACACAACACAAGAAAGGACAAACATAAAAACTCAAATGTTTGTGTAGGATTTGTAAGAATCAATTACAGTACATTTATTCATGCACACCAAGTATATCATGTAAGATTTATACTATGTATAGTAAGGTATAGTGTAATAAATTAAATAGTAACAAAATCACTATAAAATTTATATTGATAATTATGATAGACTCTGGACAATTTTACTGATATTTTTTATTAAAGAGCGCAAAAAAAATGTGCCAATCAGTACATGATGTTAATAAGTCTACATGGTTTACATGGTCTGTCTGCATGAATTGTGCAGCATTTTATTTGGCAAAACAACAAAATGTTTTGTTGTAAATTAACTGTAATAGTTTTTTTTGCTTATATTTTAAAATATAGACTTTTAAGCTTTATTATTATTATTATTATTATTATTAATATTATTTAATTTCCTTTTTATAATAAATTTGCATAAAAATAATAAAATTAAGCTTAATTGCTGAGTTTAATTGAGAACACACAATTTATGTTCGCATTCAGTCTTTCATGATTTACAAAATATGAGTAAAGCATTTCCTTCCCCATTAATGTTAGCTGTATACTAGGATAAATACTGATAATGTATGATATAGAGAAAATAATTGTAATAATCTTTAACTAAATGAATCCTGTTCAACCAAGGTAATCATTTCAGCTTTAATTACACTCTCAGAAATAAAGGTATGAAAGCTGTCACTAGGCATACCTTTTCAAAAGATACATATTTGTACCAATAGAGTCTACAGTAGTACCTAGAGGTAGACATAATGTAGAATGAAAACTGTTTTCAGGGTATACCACGGTTTGGAAAAGTCAAGGTTTTAAAACTTTTTTAAAACCTTTTAAAAACAAAATTTCTAAGGTATGTGTAAGATTTTTTTATTTAGATTTTTTGTTTTATTTTTTAGGGCAACAGCATCTCCAGCAAAAAAAAAAAAAATATCCAGATATGCTTACAATAAAATTGTAAAGAAAAGTTTTTGAAAACAAATCAATACAGCAGAAGTCAATGATTCATTTGAATTATATAGCCTGACGTGTTCACTGCTCCAAAATATCATAAATCTTTCAAAAAACAGAATATATTGTTTCAAAGGGGAAAAATGTTTTTGTTTTTTACTCAGACATTTAATATACTTAAGAATATACTTTAGAGCAATGATCACAAAACCATGATATCATAAAACCGTGATTTTTTTATCCAAGGTTATCATACCATCAAAATCTTATAAAAGCCAATGCTTACCTCGAGGTAACAATAAGTGTCCAAATGCACCTAAAATGTACCTTTGAGGTAATAATATGGACCCTTCAGCTAAAAATATGTACCTTTTGACAAGGTACTGTCATAGTGACAGCTCTTGTATCTTTATTTCTGAGAGTGTACCTTCACTGGAAGGACATAAATAAATCAGATTAAAAATATGTTAACTTATGTGTCCTATTAAATACATATAACAACATGCGGGTCATTTTTGGGTAACACTTCACAATAAGGGTTCATTAGTTAATGCATTTACTAACATGAACTAATCATGAACAACTCATGTACAGCATTTATTAATCATAATTGAACATTTACTAATGCATTATTAACATCCAAGTCCATGCTTGTTAACATTAGTTAATGCACCGTGAGTTAACATGAACTAACAAATGAACTACTGTATTTTCATTAACTAACATTTAATAACATGAATAAGTACTGTATTAAATGTATTGTTCATTGTTTGTTCATGTTAGTAAATGCATTAATTAACATTAACTAATGAACCTTATTGTAAAGTGTGACCCATTTTTGTGAGCCTAACCCTTTAGGAATTGTCAAAAAACTAAACAAGTGTAATATTCGGATACTGGAAAAAAAGTAATTGAATTGTGCAATATAGTAATTTTGCAAGGCAGCATAAATGGTGGTTGCCTTTTCGAGGGCACTCAAGACAGGTCACAAAAAACAACTAAATATTTGCAGGCTGCAGAAATGTCATCTGGCAGTTTCCCCATTATATGCCACATTCTCCATATAATGCGATAATGGTGCCTCCCTGGAGGTACAGAAAACACCACCGCATCAGCAACTTGCCATCAGACCAAAACCCTGACAAAGCAATCAATACCAGTTTAATAAGGCTCACTATTTCAAAACATATGAGAGGTTATGAGGGCATGAGAATTCAAATTTATTATATTCCACCTTATCCGTGCAACTATTATTATGAAAGTCCAAAGGAAAACTGCTGGATTGTGACAGTTTAATCTCATCAGTCCGCACAGAGAGTGAATCCGTACCTTGTCCTTGCCTGTAAAAACACCAGGGCAATTCAACGGATTACAAGCTCTTCTGACTTGAGGCTTGTTGGAGATTAGTCAGGAGGACAATGGTCATATCGCAGCGCCAGAAATCACCGCCATACTTTCAGGTGTTGGACAAAAAATGTGTCAACAATATTAAAATGTCACCAATTCACCCAAAATTTTAGTTATTACTCCCTTATTACTCAGTTATTGCTTAGATTATTTACTCACCCTCAAGTAGGTTGTCAACATTTATGAGTTTCTTTTTTGTAATAAACTCGAAAGAAGATATTTTGAAGAATGTCGGCAGCCAAAAATATACTATGAATGTCGATAGCTACCGGTTGAAAACATTTTTAGCAGACTATGTTCTTTGTGTTTAACAGAAGAAAGAAACTCAAACACACCTGGAAGGTGGAGTGTGAGTAAATTGTGACAAGGGTTTTTTTTTAGTCTTAGGAGAACTGTCCCTTTTGGTAGACAGGAAAATCAGGATTCAAGTCATCAGCAATTTAAGAGATGACTTCTTATGAACAACAAAGAGCATGGCTGTACATTATGATGAAATATGTCTGTTGGTAACAATTAACATCCACATATGAATGATTTTACATTACTATAAAATATTACAAATAGATCCACATGTGTTAGTAGTATACTTAAACACATTCGACAATATGAAACAGTTTTATGTTTAACCAATGTAACGTGAGACAAAACTAAACATGAAATTGCACTTGATTTGAGACTCAATGAATTTTCTCACACTCCACAGCCAGCACAAACGCAGAATTTGCCAATTAGACATTTGAAAAGGTAGTATTTAGGTTGTACAGAGTATTCCTCTTCTCGTGTCTCTTACCTGTAATCAGTAACAGTGAGGTGAGAAGCAGAAATGTTGGAGTTCTCCAGTCCATCAGCATCTCCATCGCCCCTCATGAAGCGTCCGCTCGCGCGACTCCTCATACAGCATCTATTGACTGTAACTCTCGCGCTCTTCTTATTCTGTCTCCTGCCTTCTCTCGATCGTAAAAACTAATGTATATGCATATATTTTATTGCGTAGATCAATTCATTCAACTCAACTGAAGAGCCGGAGTCCAGCTTGAAAATAAATGCCATTCCCTCCCCTTCTCTCATCCGCGCGGCTGAAGGCATTTAGAGAAGGGCTCTTTGCGGTTCTATGTTCTAAATATACTCTAAATAAACTCTCGATGTATTGCTATTTAGGTATTGTCAGTCATAACTGAAGTTTTTGGCTGTTCTTGGACGGTACGAGGCTCGTCTGTCACCTGAGAGCAGCTCCTCTCGCAAGTCTAGATGTGCCCTTGAAGCCACGCCCCCTTCAGCATACAGGTGTTACGAGCGCTCCTCCGTGCATTAATTCCTTATAAACAGCCAATTATCAATCAATAACTGATGTAAATAAATTCGATTAATTTCAAATATCAATTGTGTATAGCTAGCTTATACTATCAGCTATTTAAAGGGATAGTTCACTCGAATATTTAAATTATGCTATCCTTTTACTCAATCTTTACTTGTTCCAAACAGGTTGGAACAAGTAGGTTTTGTTGAACACAAGATATTTTGAAGAATACTGTACACTTGTAACTATTAACTTCCATAGTATTTGCTTTTCCTGATATGTATGTTAATGGTTACAAGTTTTCAACTTTCTTCAAAATATCTTCTTTTGTGTTCAACACAAGAAAGACACTAATAAATGTTTGAAACCACTTGAGGGAGAGTAAATAGTGACAGATTCCCATCCCTTTAACACATTGGTGTTGATTAAAATGAGAGGAAGGTAAGGCACTATTTTACCTCAATAATTTTTGTGCATGTGATTTAATAAGATATAATGATTTATGGTTCTAAACTATGTTTAGGCAGAAGTTAGAATACCTTTATAGCAGATTTTTTTTATTTTTTATTTAAGGTTAATGATGTAGATGTAGGTGACTTTTTAGCAGAACTTTTTAATAATTATACTATTATTTGACAAATGGTGTTCCTTGACATGAGAGTAATGCACTATTTTAATTCAACAATATTTTTATTTTGTGATTTATTGATTTTTTTTATATTAATCATAAATCCATTTATGACCGGTAACCAGGGGCGGACTTAGTAATTTGGGCGCTCTAAGCAATTCCAGGTATAGGGCACTTGCATTGAAATTTGAAACATTCTCTTTCTCTATATATATTTTCTCTGTAGATATATTTTCAGTGAAACCTTTATCGTTTTAATGTAAAATTAAATACAAATACACAAATAAAAAACAAATTGACATACTAACCATATGTACAGTTAATAAACCACATTTGTGATTACATTTTAATATTTGCATGTGCAGTATAGAAATAGGGTTTTACTATTCATGAGGCCCCCCAGTTTAAAAAGAAGTAATAGCGTTAAAATCTTAATGGTTATAGACAGATTTTTCAACATAAGATAGAAAATTTATACATTTTCTATACAATTAATTTAAGCAATTCGTAGCATTGGTTGTGGCCCTCTAATTTCCCAGGGCTCTAAACAGCTGCTTATCTCACTTATTGGTTAGATCCACCCCTGCCGGTAACAGCTATTTGAATGTTAAAGATGTAGATGATCTTTTTTAGCGATACTTTAAAGATCATAGCTGAACTCATCCTTGGTGATTCACAAGTCTACACTTTAAAAAAAAGAAAAACACGTACAAGCAAATCAAAAATGAATGGCTCCTTAACTTTTAATATCCTTTAAGTATTTATTTGAATGTTTTTTTAAAAAAAGATTCTCACTCAAAAACAAAACATTTTTCATGCATCAATTTTGATCACATACAAAAGAGTTTGATTATTTATTTTCAGACCATTTCAGCTTTTTAAATCTTTTAAAATCTTAATTTTTTAATGGTACTGTAAGTGCCAAAATCTTAAGTAAATTTCATTACATTTACATAAAAATGTATTATTGCAATAACAACAATCCAAACCCTTACTTAAAACAATATTGCCTACAAAGATTTTCCACGGACAGTCAAACTATGTGTACACCTTTTGTCTATGTACTTGTCTATCTGTGCGTACATGTGTGTAATGTGTGTTTTTCTTAACATATTTATTGTCTTTCACATACTTATTGTCTTTCAAGTATTTATTGTTAGAATTTATTGTTGTGTTTTTGGAGTATGCTGTTTGCATTGTCTAAATCCAGCACCTAAGCTTTTCACTAATAGTACACGTGCTGCTGCTGATGTGACAAGAAAAGTAATTTTGAACACAACAGTTCTGACTGAAATCTGACTTCAAATAGAATCTCATTAGTACACACGCACACCATACCCAATTAATTGATCATATATATATATATATATATTGGAGTCAGAATTATTTGCCTCCCTTTTTTATATATTTCCCAAATGATGTTTAACACAGCAAGGAAATTTTCACAGTATGTCTGATAATATTTTTCTTCTGGAAAATGTCTTATTTGTTTTATTTCGGCTAAAATAAAAGCAGTTTTGAATTTTTTAAACAATATTTTAGGGACAAAATTATTAACCCCATTTAAGCTTTATATTTTTTCGATACTCTACAGAACAAACAATCAGTAAAGACTTGCCTGATTAACCTAACCAGCCTATTTAACCTAATAGTTAAGCCTTTTAATGTCATTTTAAGCTGTATAAAGTGTCTTGAAAAATATTTAGTCAAATATTATTTACTGTCATCATGGCAAAGGTATAATAAATCAGTGATTAGAAATAAGTTATTAAAACTATTATGTTTAGAAATGAGTTAAAAAACCTCTCTGTTAAACAGAAAATGGAGAAAAAATAAACAGGGGGGTGAATAATTCAGGGGCTAATAATTCTGGCTTCAACTGTTAATTCAAATTTATGAATAAAACAAAGATAATTGGAGCACATTTAAGAAAAACAATACGCGATATTTGTTTTTCTCTTTCTAGATTTCCCATTTAATTGAATGTGTTATGTTTCTTTGTAAATATGAAATTTGCATTTTGAAGTTGGTACATTGTAACCGATTTTTATTTTTTCAGTGATAGGACAGTGCAGCATCTAAGTTAACTCAGACTCAACTTCATTACAAGTTTATGGAAAATAAAATTGAAGCAAGGTGCCATAACACAGGCGAAGTTCCATGTGCACATTACCAAATTATTATTATCACAAAACATACAATACGTCATTTTTACATTTATTTTATTAATGCAAGAAAGACACATACAAAAAAAAAAATGATATATATATATATATATATATATATATATATATATATATATATATATATATATATATATATATATATATATATATATATATTGAAAAGCATAATAAAATTATATAGAAGTGCAAAAACTCAATAGGTAAAACAAAATAAAATAACAAATAAAGAAAACAAATATTACAAATAATGCTAGGTCTTGCTTATTCACAATAACTTAAAAGTGTCAAACAAATAAATGGTTAGCTTTTTTGTACTCTCCTTAATGGTATTTATATAAATATAAAACATTTTAAGAACCTCTAAAATAAGAGGTTTCTGATAGCTAAATTTACATGAAACTTGGTCAGTATAATCAAAAGATTTATAACATAAGCTTCATTTTCTTCTTATCTTAGTTCAGAAAAAACAAAATAACATATTCATACAGTAAAGAAACAGCAGTATATCATTTGTATATTCACCATACCCATTTTGTATACATTTGTATACATTTTTAGATGCATCTCCCTCCCCACTGGACTCATTTAATGACCTAATGTCCACCATTATAAAATAATTTCTAATTTTGTTTGTCCAGCATATAGGAACTCTAAAACGACGTCCTGATAGCAGCAGCTGAAACACAGAATACAATGGGTAATCCAGGGTCCATAAGATAACTTGAGCTCTCATTAAAACATTACAGTAAATTACCAATGGACCAGTTTGGTTAAACTGATCTTGCCGGCCATCTTCACAAGTCTACTCGGCCATGTTCTTATTTGACAGACTCAGATTACTGCTACAATGCATAAAGATAAAACAGATTTAATAAATTGTTTATAAAACAGTGACATCATAGAGGTACCTTTCTTTTTTATAGACAGTCTGGGTACTGTATCTACTGGGTGTATATTCCTGGTTGGAATATCAACATGTTGTCGATAATGATATTTATGTGTCAACAATTTCAATGTTTAAACCTTTTAATAGCACTTTCCTTCCCGATGTGGTCTTAGTTGTCTTAGTTTATTATCTTGTTAGTTACAATCTAACAAAAATAAAATTAAACAGACTACACCGCATAAAAAAAAAAAAAAAAAAAAAACACCATTCCTATTTCACATTTCTGGGAGTTTCCCAAATATTAATAAGATCAAAACAAAATTTTCCCCCTCCTACAGTTATTTCACCTACAAGAATCATTTTCAGTGTTTCCATCAGCCTGATTTAGTGCAGCCAATTACCGTCTGGCGTGTACATTGTGACACGGTTTGGTCTGTGATATTAGACTAATCAGGAGCTACAGGAGGAAGCAAATGCAGACCCCGATCTAGGCTCATTCGCACCCTCTCCGATCGGCCAGTTGCCATAGAAACACATCAGAAGTTCATGCATTAGGGCTGCTCAATTATTGGGAACTGGTGAGCTCAGGTCTTTGATTGTCTTGTCTAAGCTTAATGTCTAACATGAAATACAGGTGCAACATGTCTGGCACAAAGACTGCGATTAAGAGAAAATTGTCAGCTAGAAGTCGTGGTGGTGTCAAGCTATTCAGTTATCCGGTGTTAAAATGATAGCTCTTTTCCTGAACATAAAAGTATTTTGAAGTATGTTAGAAACAGGAAGCCACTGATGTGCATAGAAGGTTAAAAAAATACTATAAATGTCAGAGTTTCCAACTGGTTTTTAACATTCTTCAAAATATCTTCTTTTTTGTTCAAAATAAAGATAAAAATGTTAAATAAGTTTAAATTTAAACTAAATTTACACTGTTAAAATTAAACTAAATATGATGGGTTGTATTAAACACTGGTCAATTATGAACAAACCCAAATGCTGGGTTATTAAATGTCATTTAAGTGAAGTTTATTTATAAACAAATTTCGAAAGGATCACATGCTTATGTTTGATCACAGCTGGTCCCGCATTAGCTCATGCTCATGCATGACCAATCGGATGATTTAATTCACCATAAATAACCAGAGTCCCTCAGGTTCTCCAGTTTCCTTCCATAGTCCAAAAAACTTGTGGCATAGGTGAACTGACCAAACCAAATTATCCCCATAGACGAGCCCTTAATCAGCAGTATATCTCT